AAGTGGGTTCTCAAAATTAAAAGAAAAGTGGATGGATCAATTGACAAATACAAGACTCGATTAGTGGCAAAGGGGTACACACAACAAGAAGGAATAGATTATGAAGATACATTCTCATCTGTTGTGCGTTTTAATTCTATTAGACTTATTCTGGCAATAGTAAACAATTTAGATCTAGAATTACATCAGATGGATGTAAAAACCGCATTTCTGAATGGTGATATGGATGAAGAAATCTATATGGAACAACCATCAGGTTTCATAGAAAAAGAAAAAGAGAACAAAGTTTGTAAACTCAAAAGATCCATTTATGGATTGAAACAATCATCCAGACAGTGGTATTTGAGGTTTCACAAAGCAATAACCTCATACGACTTCCAAATGATAGAGGAAAACCACTGTGTCTACATTAAACAGTTTGAGGGTAATTTTATCATATTATCCTTATATGTAGACGATATACTATTAGCCGGAAATAGTCTAGATTCGGTGGTAGCTATTAAAGAATGGCTTTCGTCGAATTTTGAAATGAAAGATATGGGTGAAGCAGAGTATATACTTGGAGTTAAGATCCAAAGAAATCGCTCAAAATGAATACTCTCTCTTTCACAAGAGAATTATATCAACAAGATTCTTGAGCAATTTAACATGAAAAACTGCAATCTCATGAGTACCCCTATTGCTACTGGAGTGGCTTTGAGTTCTAACATGTGTCCCAAAACCGAGTCTGACAAAAAGAAGATGGAAAGAGTTCCATATGCCAGTGCTGTTAGTAGTCTGATGTACGCAATAATGTGTACAAGACCAGACATCTGTTATGCAGTGGGACTGGTAAGCAGATTCCAGTCTACCCCCGGTGAAAAGCATTGGAAAGCAGTGAAGAGGATCTTGAGATACTTGAAAGGCACTTCTAATTATGCACTGTGCTACGAAGGAAGCGACCTGTGCTTTGTTGGGTACTCCGATGCTGATGTAGGTGGAGATGAAAAAGAACGAAGGTCAACTTCAAGTTATACCTTCTTGCTCAACAATGGCGCTATATGTTGGAGTAGCAAGAAGCAAACGTGCATTGCCTTACATTCAATGGAAGCTGAGTTTGTGGCATGCACCGTAGCAGTGCAAGAAGCTTTATGGCTGAAGAGATTTATAGAACACCTTGGATTTGGAAACAAGAGTACCAATCCGGTGATGGTATACTGTGACAATACTGCAGCCATAGCCTATACTAAAGATCCTAAGTATCACAGCAAAACCAAGCACATTGACATCAAGTATAATTTTGTTAAAGATTATATAGCACAAAAGATTGTTACTATACAATACATTTCAACCAAATGTATGGTAGTAGATCCTCTGACAAAGCCAATAGGTGAAAAAGTTTTTAAAGAACATGTGCAAGCCCTTAGCATACATAAAGTGTAATTTGTAAACCTCATTAATGAAATTATGTTTTTCTGTTATCACTTTATGTGTTTGTTCGAAAGTATACAGTGCCTAGTATGTCGTACAGGTTAAGAAAGGTTGGCTCTCTCACACGGGCAATTGCCTTTGACACTCAAGTGGAGTGAGCAAAGAGAAGACATTTGTGTTCACTAGTAAAGCAGCAAAAGAATGCTGATATGGTAGGGAAGAAACACAAACTTTATGTCGCCTTGACTAAAGTGTAGCAAGTCAAGATGAGATCCACGTTGATAAAGTTGGATCGAAGTTTGGAATCCCACTTCTATAATACCTGTAGCCATATAACAAACTCTTTAATGTCGACGTCATAACAATGAGTAGAGTTGAAGAATATGGGTTTAGAGACTGAGTGTGTCTAGACTTAAGTCTGTACGGTGTTAATGATAAGTCCAAAACGACATACGCTCTTATAGTAAAAGAGTAACACCGTAGCATGTGTTTCATACCACATGTGCTAGGAGAACCGCAAAAGGGAAGCAAGTGAAAGATCCCTGCTTCTTTGCTGTGTGAGTCCCAGGGAAGAATTATCCTCCTGTTGGTGTCCTTTGACTTTGACAATATCACGAAGATATGTTTCAGCGACTGCTACTTTGGTATATGTCCTATGGTCATGATTGATGTGATCTAAGGTAGTATGCTAAGAAAGCGATTGATTCATATCAAAGTGATATTTAGGCGAAAGGAAGATTGACTGTGATATACACACCTATGCTAGTGTCTGTGACATGTCCCTTATGACATTCCGTGGTCATAAGTGTGGACACTAGACATACCAGAATGGTAATCTGAGTCAACCATCGACTCGAGAGGGATTAGATCTACCGTTAAAAAGTGTATATAAGTAAATCTGGGACATCTGAGGCATAATTTTAAAATTCAAGCTACACGAAGGAGAGGGTGACTTGTGCTGATCCTTTAAAAGGGATTTCTAGTACAGGGACCCAAGCAAAGACGTCATGCCCACGCGGTCACGGCAAAGCACTAAGTATGAAATTGAGGGAAGGTGAAGAGTCTAAACCCACAACATCTAATCCACCAAGTGTGAGTGGGAGATGTAAGAAAATGGGCCAGTCCACCCTTAGTGGATTGGACCCAAATTCATTGAGCTTTGGGGTTCTAATGTAAATTACAAAACATATGGGTCCCTAACTGCAATTTTAGCCTTTTTTATATGATCTGGAAAATGGGGGGAACAGTTGGACGAAGGAGGCGGTTTATTATTTTCAAAAGTGTGGAGTTACATAACTGATCCAAGTGGGATCATTTAGTGTGCGCGTGCTTTTCTCCATATTCTGTTGGTTCCTCCAGACTCCTCCTCCCACTCTCTGAATTTCTCCTTCCCTGTGCATTTGCTGTGTCTCCAAGATCCGAGTTCAATACTGTAACCGGACCTCTGTGTGGCTATTGAAGATTTCAAATACTCCAGGTACGCCCGAAATCCTTCAAAAATGGATGATTTGGCTAAGTAATCATGGTTAAAAGAATCGACTTTATAATAAGTCACCTACATTCATCAATATCGAACACATTGTTTATTAAGCATTGAATAGGGAAAATCAAATTGTTTCATCTAAAAATTTCAACTCATTATTCGATGGTTTAGTTTAGAGAGTATTTAAATGTATTTTCTCTCATTTCTTACTTCAATCGTATAATTTTGATACTTCATCTAGCTTTTTCTTTTCTCCCCTATTATCTTCGTCACCTGTCGATTTCTCTTTGAAGGGAAAGATTGTCTCAAAGATTTTCTCGAAACGATGAAAATTGGGTTCTCACAAAAAATAGTGGGAAGCCATCTTCCTATCTTTAAAGGAAAATGTCTTGCTACAGAAAATGGTTTTCAAGAATGTTGAACTACCAAACATATTCAACTAATGGAAAATCTAGATTTTCCTTTTCCTTTATAATATTATTAGTGTGCCAAACGGGCTCTTATAGGGTCACGTTTTGAGGAAGAAGGGAATACTTAGGATTTCATAAGGAACACGCTCATGTATTACTAGGAGATTTCAATTTGTATTTTACAATGAAAAAAGCCTGAATTTATAAATTAAGGTTTTGAGAAAACAACAAACGATACGACCCATCACAACTTATACTACAATAATACATACTCTTTTGGAAAAGTTAAAATAAAAGCCCGACTCACTACCAAAGAAACAGTAAAAGTTAGACTTACGAATAGGATGTAGATTCCCCCCCCCCCCAAAAAAAAAATGACATACAATTAAGACAAACACATTAAAAACAAAAACATATGAATAAGCATATTTTTGTTAAGACTGCTAAATTTAGTAGCTAAGTAAAATTCAAAGTATGAGTCTACCCAAAGATCTTATCAAGTAATGTCACTTTAACAATTTCAGTTGATAAAATAATTAACTGATGATGTTTCAAAAATAAAATACATAATCAAGTGTCGTTAAAAATTTTAACAGTCTTTATATGTGTTTTTGTTTGTTTTTTTTAGGAAAAATTAGGAAGAGGGACCTAATGGTAACAATATTAATGGGGAAAGATATTAAAAATTTTATTTATTTGGAAAGAGCAAATACTAAAATATAAATTTAAAATTATCAATTTGCCCATAACAAAATTCCATATATTATCTCTTACCACATCTTATAATTTTCTTTTTTCAAAAAATAATTAAATTTTATTCAAATTAATTCAAACTAATTGGAATTACTAAGTTACGAAACAACTCTAACAAATTAATTAAATCAATTAATAATTAATACTAATTAATTTATTCATCCATCACTTTTTTAAAAAAATAAAACTCTTTTTTGGGCTTGCTGAATAATGAGCCAATCAAAATCATATAATTGAATTAAAAATTAAAAAAGTGATATAATAATAAATAATATACAACTTATCGATAATTAATAAGAATAAAAAAATCTTGTAGGTTTAAACTTGAATTTTCTTACTCAAAGTATGATAACTACTTTTATTATGACAAATATCTATTGATATAATGAATTTCTTATGTCACTTTTATTTTAAATTTTTAATTTCATTAAGTAAGAGGATTCAACTTATTCAAATAAAATAATAGTATGAAATGGATAAGTAAAAATATGAAACAACTTTTTCTTCTGTGAATGGTAGAAACTTTATTGCCCTGCTCATTTTTCAGAAAGCCTACAATTATTAATTAAAAATAATAAGAAATAAATTAATTAGTGTTGGCTATTAATTTAATTAATTAGAATGAGTGTCTGACTTTGAAATTTAAATTAGTTTGAATTAGTTCAAATAAATAATAATTATTCTACTAAATGGTATGAAAGTTACAGGAGGTGGTGAGAGAATACAAAGATTGTGGTGAATAGCAATAATTTCAGTTTTTTTAAGTTTATATTTTTAAATAATTAAAGTTTTTAATATTTTTTCAAATAAATATCATTTCCACCTAATCCCTCTTTTTAATTTTCCCTTTTTTCAACTATCATGTTTGCTGGCGAAGCGGCGATCCACAGAAAACGCAAAAACTAGTTTCGAGCAAAACAGCTTGCCAGGATATCATCGTATGTTTTCCTCCTTCTTCGACGGATTTTCTCGGGATAACAAAACAAGCAAAGGGCTCACTGATTCTGAAACCTTACCATTTACCAGTCAATCATCATGCTTATTTAGATGTATCAATCTCTATCTTCTTCGCTTTAAACTTTGTCTTCCTCTTCCACACAAATATCCCGGCAATATGAATTTTTCCTGGTCCCTTTTCACCAACGGATTCCTACTCATTGTTCTTTATTTTCTCTTCTTCAGTGACTCAGGCGCAAAGGTCGTAAACCTTGATGTTCATAAAGCCAAGAATCTGGTCCAAAGTGGCCATGTCTATCTCGATGTCAGGTAAAATCCCTAATTTTCTCTTTTAATCCTCTGGTTTTTCTCTGTTTCGGCAAATTTAAGCAATCTAATTATTGGTTCGCGAACGAATAATTAACAGGAGGGTTCAAGATTTCCAGAAAGGACATGTCGATGCAGATAAGATCATTAACATTCCTTACCTGCTCGATACGCCAAAGGGTCCGTAATCGTCATCTTTTGAATTTCTGTTTCCATTCAGTTAGTTTCAGATCTCACGGTGAAATTCTGCGATTTTGAACAACAGGTAAGGTGAAGAACCCAGAATTTCTGAAGCAGATTTCATGTGCTTGCGACAAAGAAGATCACATTATTGTGGTAATCAAATTTTCCTTTTCAGAATCCTAAAATTGAAAATTGAAAATTCCCCTTTCTTCCCTGTGTGAATTGCTTATCTGTTTTGGGGAATTTGTATTTTAGGGCTGCGATTGTGGCGTGAAATCTCTGTATGCAGCTGCTGAACTTCAGGCTGATGTAAGTCGCTTAATTGGTGTTTGTTGAGCATTTTCTTCAATTAATGAAAACTGAGCGGTGACTTTTTAATTATGCAAAATGCTAATTCATCCCCGGGTGCTTTTTTTATTTTAAATTTTGCCCCTTTTTCTTTGAGCAGAATTTAATTAATAAAGAACTACAAGAGTTTTATTAAAATTTATAGAAAAAATCGCAAAAAAAAAACCTTGGAAATTAAAAAATTATATATAGAGACCAGTTCATAAAAATTGTTATTATTTCCTTATCAATTGTCAAAACCAATATTAATATTATAATAGGTCCTCATTTGCAATTTTTTTTAAAGTGTTTGTTTGCGATTTTTCCAAATTTATATATATTTCTCCTTAATTTTAAACGCATATTGGTACAATTTATTTTTTATCTGCCTTTGCATAAATGTGTATTTTTTTTTTTTGTGGTCTTGACATAAATGGGTATTGAAAACAGATTAAATTCTACAATTTTTTATAAGCTTTGCTAAAAGCGTATTTATTTTTTAAATCAAGAGCAGAGCCAGGATTTAATTGTGAAGATTACTGAGAGTGAGAGAAATTCGAAATTACTAAATCCGAAATAAAAATTCTTAAAAAATGTGTTATTATTTATAAGTTTAGTGTTGTCAAAATTAATTAAAATATTATTGCTAAAACTGGTTTGAGATTTAGTAATTTTGGACTTCTTTTTATGAAATTATCTTATTCATTGGCCGGGAAAAAAAAAAGGCATATATAATACAAAGTTTACATGACTATGGGGGGTGAATACGTATAATGGATAGAACAAATTTAAAACTTGGGGTTATGCTCCTTGCCTTTTTCCTTTTAAAATTTGGTACTCGTATGTCTTTTTTTCTTTCTCTTGATTAAATCTTTTAACTCTGATCCGTCAGTATTGCTATCGTTTGTTTAGGAATTAACAGTACTATCTGATCAAAATTACAGAGACTAATGGTATTAACAAATGAAGTTAAAGAATTTAATTTAAAGAAAAGCTATAAGTACTCGGATAAAAAGTGGAAAAAAGTATGAGAATGTGCAAAATGGTTTCTTTCTTTGTTTTTTTCCTTTATCCACGCGGTTTTATGTTCTTTCTCTTGCGTTGTTAGGTCCACACGAAAACTAATCTGTAATGCTGTCATGAATTGGCAGGGCTTTAAGGACGTGAAGAACATGGAAGGAGGCTATCGGGATTGGGTTAAGAACAGGTTTCCTGTGAAATTGTGAAAGTGAAACCACTTGCAGTCAATCGGGGATACCAAACAGTACACAAGTGAATAGTGCAGTTGTTATATATGGTATATATTTGGATTAGTTTTTTTAGACATGATTTTACAGTGCATAAAGTAAATATGTAAAAAGAGTATTATGTTTTTTTTTTCCCACACATGATTTTATAGCGTAAAAAATAAATTTGTGAGAGTAGTGTTATCTTGATGTGCATGTATTTTTTTCAAGTGCTTCTAGAGGTTCCCAAACTCCCCTAACATAGCAACTTGAGTCATAATCCTAAAGGCTATTTGTTTAGAGAAAAAAGTGATTCTAGTTAGTTAAACATGGGGAGTTGTTGGAGAAGCTTGAAGTAATTACAGGGATGTGTGCTAAAAATAATCTATTTTCACCTTATTTTGACAAGCTAAATTCAAAAAATCATATACTACTTGTGATCTATTAATATAAGACTTAATTAACTAATTTAAAAAAATTAAGAAAGTTACTCTTTCAACTATTTATATTTATCGCTTTTTTTTTCAAACTAATTTACTTTACTTATAAATTAATATATAATCTAATGATCCACGTAAATATTTTAGAAAAATCATATAACACATGTTATAATTAAGTAATCTAATAATTTTTTTAATATCTCTAAATTAGTCAATTGAATCTAATATTAAAGACTGGAGGTAGGAATAAAGTGAATCCACATCAATTAATATTAAATCTAATTTCATTAACTCATTTAAACACAAATTAAATAGTGGAATATTTTTGGAACTAAAAATCCCAATAAACCCTAACTTTCATAAACTATAAATTCAAAAAAATAAAATTAAGATCCAAGAGGATAAATTGAGTTTAGATCACTTGCTCAAGAATATGAAAGTGTGATGAATTGATGAAAATCTTAGAACTGGAAAAGTCATAGCATTTCCCCTTCTTTCCCTGCGTTTTCCTGTCATTTTGTGTGTGATGTATCTAAATATGACTACACGTTAGCCGCCAAATATGACACTCACAATCATAGTCATGTCCACATCATAGATGTGAAAATGTATATGGATAATTACCTTAGAAAAATTTATAATTTATAAACAAATTCAAGAAGGAAGCAGGAGAAACACAAACCACATTTGTGAATTCACAAATTCATGAACAGATTTGTGAGCTTGGACAAACTTAAACAGTTAAGGAGATCTCTTTACCAAACTTGAATGGTAAATAGTACTCTTGCCCATTTCAGGACTTATGCGCTCTCTCTATTTTCCTTCCAGTTCACCGTCATCATGACATCCTCGTTTGAGTCTCCCCTCAACAAAAAAGCTTGCTAGCCTCATCATTGCTTTTCAGCTATTGTCCTCATCTCCAAATCCCCGACCGTAAATCTTCTTTCAAGGCAAAACTGAGAAATACAAAAAGAAGAATGCGGAGGTATGAAAAGAGACAATGTGCTTGGGGAAGGGAAAGGCCTCAAGAGTGATGCCTTGGAACAAGAAATAAAAAAGATATGTGGATAAAAGTCAAACCATAATTTTAAAAGTAATTTTACGATATATGAAATAAGTACGTTAAGGAATTTATTTCGATTTATAAAAAAAATACTTTTTAAAAATACTTTTCTCAAATACCAAACACTTCCGAAGTTATGAGCCAACACAAAGTCCAAAGCCTGCATTTGATGAATGTAGGCTTCCTAAGAGCTTGAGATTTATATATTTTTTTTTAACCAAAATAACATTTGAGCAGTGAATACTGTTTTTAAGCTATAGATAAGTTGTTTTAATATATTGATACTAATTTATAAATATATGAATAAAAAATGTAATATTAAATAAAATCCAAAAAAATTGAGCTTTGTGTATTGATTCTTTTGGTACAGTTGCAAGGCATGGTAAATTATTGAATTGTCTCAGTTTATATCTTTCAATTTAACCTATACAAGTTTATATGCAATTAACGACAAGTTTGTTTCTTTGCCAATAAAGGTGGGCCTAGTTGGTAAAAATTGACTCATAACTCATAAGATTGTGAGTTTAAATCTCATAATTGATGTGAGGACCTTATTAGTAGATAATCTAAATAAGTATCCCCTTAATTGCTTTAAGGCATAGCATGGGTATGCCCAAAACATGTGGCAAGGGATGGTCGTTGCTAGCGAGGAGTTGGGGCTGGCCAACAGGAATACATGATGAGCGGCGGCTATTGCCGGCTAGGACAGGTGAAGGCCAGTGGGTCGACAAAAATGAAAAAGAAAGAATTTTTTTAATTTTTCAAAACAAAAAATAACAAATGAAAAAACAAAAGTCAATAAAACATCTAAAAATTTGTTTTAGGATTTTAGTTTTAAAAAACATATTATTTTAAACACCTGACTAAAGATAAGTTATTAAGCAAGTTTTTTTTTTAAAAATTGTTTGGAAAAAAAAACAAGGCCATAGATTTAGGAAAAATATCCAAAAAAATACCTATAAAATTTTAAAATTGCAAATAAAAAATAACTATAAAAATATGTTTTTATTTACTTTTCAAATGTTGTCAACTGTTATTAAAGTATAGTAAACAAGATTGATTTAAATTTTTTTGGGATTCTCTAATAGTTTTAGGTCTTAATTCATGCCAATTTATCACTTTTCTGTTTTTTTGGTCAACTTATTATTTTTCTAAGTTTGTTACTTCGAAAAAAAATCCATATCATATCATAATAAATAATTTTCAAATTAATATGTCAATTATGGACCCTCATACTTCAGAATTGACGACCTTGTTACCAAGAAGCAGGGGCCCATACGGGGTAGGCCCATTCATAGGAGCCCATGAAAAAACTTGCTGCCTAAGTTGCTGCAATGGGCAAATTACATGGGACTGAGCACGAGAAAGATCATCGTTCTAACTTCGACCTTCAATTCCCGTGCTTAACAGAAGCACAAAATCCTTTGACTAAAGATTTGAACAAGGTAGCTGCTCAATCTCATCGACATGGCGAGATACGATAGAGCCATTACAGTTTTCTCACCCGATGGCCACCTTTTTCAAGTCGAATACGCCCTAGAAGCTGTTCGTAAAGGCAACGCCGCCGTTGGCGTCCGGGGCACCGACATCGTCGTTTTAGGCGTCGAGAAAAAATCAACCGCCAAACTCCAGGACTCCAGGTATTCCTCATATTTTCACTTGTGTATAAAACTTTTCACTTTTTATAAAATTGTTGGCATTTTTTTTTTTTCCCATTGTCTTGCTTTCGTTTTAGCATTACAAGATGTTTGTTGCAAAAATGATTCTTCGTTTGTGATCTTATTTTTTTAAACAAAATTTAGATGGTTATAATTTTTAAGCATAGATCCATTTCTTTTATGGTTGGGATAAAATCTGATTCCTGGGACAATCAGATTAGCTTTTGGTGTTTTTCAGGGCGATGGAATTAGTATTTCCTTACTAGCTTCATGGCTACTTTTCTTTCAGCAGTGATATCGATTTGGTTTAACTCAATTGAAATAGAGCAGGGTTTTAAATACAATTTATCTTATGGTTGCTAGTACAAGACTGCAACATCGTTTCTTTTTCCAAGGATTGTCTTTACATGCATCGAAGAGTCGAGTGCTTTACATTTTATTTACGGTGACGGGCTTAGTGATACCTTAATTTTTGGGTTTGTTTAGTGGGGAACATATATTGTCACCAACGGATGGAAAGGATATTTCTATTGAAGCCCTCAATCTCAATGTGTCCAATCTGAGGGGATCTTAATTTCTCTGGATATGACCCAAGGAAGTTTGGGGTTGAGACCCAAGTTTTGTTCAATGTGTCATCAAATTTTATTTGATTATTATGTTTTTTTTAATTGACGTTGTGGTGAAAAGTCTTCCCAAATTTCACTAGATTTAGAAATGGTATTTGTGATGTTATAAGATATTGGCTAGATGCTTTTTGTGTTCTCTATTTCATTGTTTTCTTTTTCTTTTGTTTTGCAGATCAGTGAGAAAGATTGTCAATCTGGATAATCACATTGCCCTTGCTTGTGCAGGACTAAAAGCAGATGCCCGTGTTCTTATAAACAGGGCCCGTGTTGAATGTCAAAGCCATAGGCTCACAGTCGAGGATCCAGTGACTGTTGAGTACATAACTCGTTACATTGCTGGTCTTCAACAAAAGTACACTCAAAGTGGTGGTGTCCGACCATTTGGTCTTTCAACCTTGATTGTAGGCTTTGATCCATACACTGGTGCACCTTCCCTTTACCAAACAGATCCTTCAGGGACTTTTTCAGCTTGGAAAGCTAATGCTACCGGTAGAAACTCAAATTCAATTCGGGAATTCCTAGAGAAGAACTATAAGGAAACCTCTGGGCAAGAAACTGTAAAACTGGCCATCCGAGCATTGCTTGAAGTGAGTAATTGGTTCTTTCAGCAATTTTTAGACAATAATTAAACTTTCATTCTTGCCCCAACCTGCAAGGTTCCTTTTTATTGGGTCCCTTCCTTTTCTTTTATTCTGATGGCAGTCTGCCACGCCCTCACTCCTGACTTAAAGAAGAAGAAAGAAATGTGGCAGGGACTAAGAAGGTCCAGAAGAGTTGGTAATGGGATTAGAAGGGGAAGAATAGGTGGGAAAAGCTAGACAAGGAAGTTAATACAGGAAACTGTTCTTTAGATAGTCATTTGCATTTATATGGTTGTATTATTGTCCATTTGCGTGTTAAAGGTGAGGAGGATATGGCAGTAGAAGAGGAGGGAAGATGGAAAAATTGTTTCTAGCAACATTTGTTAGCTAGTTATGTCTTCAGTTATTGACGTTCTTACCTATTTGCATTTCTTATTTGTTAACTAAGGTGCACGTGCGTCTAGTTATAAACTTGTTGGGAGAAGGCTGGAATGGAAATAATTTGTTTTATGAAGATTCTCCAAGCTTTAGGAAATTATTGAGTTTTACTCTTTAAACTTCTAGAGATTCTTCCTCTCTTCTAAACCTTCTAAATAATAAAGAGTAAATAAAGTAAAAAGAGAGGAAAAAGGGAGAGGGAACAGAGAGAAGAGGGACAAAACTACATAGTTCATTAGCTACTAAGGGCAAAAATTACATATAGATTCAACCCCTTCTTTATCTAGCCGTTGGCTTATTAATTCTCACTATTTGCCTCAGGTTACAACTTACACGCAACCTTCTAGATGATTCATAGTCCCTTATTTATTACATATGACTAGCATTGTGGTATGGGAGCCTTTTGATCCAAGATGGTGTCCACTTGCTCTTCCGGAATTCCTTAAAACCCCATTGCTTGCCATCTATCCTTGTAAGCCCTCCAATCATTATATCTTACAACAATTATTTTCTATCTCATGATGCCATGACATTCTTGGTGATTCAGTATAAGATAATGTGGCACTAAAAGCCCAAACTGGTATTGGCTCCAAAGCTGCAAGTTAGAGATCACACACTTGGCTTTCTAATACTTCATAGGCAGCTGAACAAACCAAAACTCTTCCACCAAACTGTCCCTCATTGCGAATGGCTCAGCCCTGGTTAGTGATGTCTATGTAAGCTACCTCCATCATTGCCCATATATGACCCTTTTGGAGACAGCATAGGCAGATGAGATTCAAGACAACAAAGGAATGTTCTCCCTGCTAGAACTTGCTGTCAAAGAACCTGAAAGAGAGGTTGATGAAATTCAAGATGGTAAAGAAATCTCCTCTAATCTGGACGAGATCTCTCTCCATTCTATTCTGGGGAAGAACTTTCATACCACTCTGAAATTTAGCAGCCTCTTCGTGGATGAAAAGCATTTCACTACAAATATCATTATAAGCAAGATCTGGCTTTTTTCATCATTATCTGATTGTTTGAAGGATTAGAGCTGTAGCATATGAATTGCAACTGTTTCCTGATTGTAAAGTTCATCCCTTTCATTTCTCACTACTTTGGCCTGCTCATGGCTATCATCCTTGTCTGCCTACATTCCCATCCGAGATTTTAGGGAATTTACTGTTGAACCTGAGAAAATATTGGACCATCACAAGCATATTGACAAATTACAGCTTGTGCTAGACATTCCGGTTTAGTGGCATGCTGGACATTCTGGTTTAGTGGCATCACATTTGGAGAAAGGAAGCTGTGAGTATGAATCCATGGCCACTCAATTTCCTTCCTTTCACCTCAAGGACAAGGTGATTGAGGGAGTAATGATGGAAGTCCAGCATGCTCTCTTCCGACTTGTGGCAAGGACTTTGACAGTCCAGAACAGATGGCAAAGGGATTATGGGCTCGTTTAGAACAGCTTATAAATAGCTTATAAGTAGTTTTTCAATAGTGATTTACGGAATACGAGGCAAGTATGTGAGAGAAGTTTTGTCTCGGTTTACATGAAACGTGCTTATAAGGAATTTCCACCATGATCCCAAACAGGCACTATAGCAAAAGGTTAGACAAGGAGGTTAAGGCGTACGTTAATATAGGAAACTAGTTGATATCTATGTTTAGATAGTTATTTACAGTGATATGATTTTATTTGGGTCAGTTATGTGTTTTTATATTTAGTTATTGGCGTTCTTATCTATTTGCAATTCTTATCAGTTGAATAAGATGTGTATAGCTGTAAACTTCTTTGGAGAAGGCCTGAATGGAAGTGACTTGTGTTTTATGAAGATTCACTAGGCTTTTTTAGGGTTCTAACTCTTTAATCTTCTAAAGATTATTCTCTCTTCTTGGCCTTCTACTCCTATCGTATCACATTTGTGTTGCTTTATGATATCTTGAGTCATTGACTTCAAGGAACATATGGAGATTGCCTTGAGCTTTTGTTTTTGTTTTGTTTTGTTTTGTTTTTTTTTTGGGTATAAACTCAAAGTCTCCTTGAGCACTTTAAACTTGAGACTGATCTCTGTCAGGCCAGAGTATTAAGGTTTTTAGCTCTCCCAACAAGTCCGATTCTGAGGATTTGAACTTGTATTCTCTATTTCAACCAACAGCTTGTTGATTAAGCTCTATTTATTTGTGAAGTTATAAAATGGATGAGATTTCTAGAGATGTGATCTTACTTTTGGATGAGTCATTCACATCTTGGGTAGATAAACTTGTGTTCTTAACAGAGACTGCTGTGGCTTTTGTTGAAGAGTTAAGGCTGGTGCTGAATAACATTGATCTGAGGTCTTATCTCTTCTTGGTTTTCAATTTAAAAAATGCTTTCGCGCGGGACGGTGAGTTTTCTAGGTGTGTAAGATCTGTTAGCATACATACTGGGTGCTAGGGCCATATTATTAACTGGGAAGACAGGCGTTGTAAATGAGTTTTCTATTTAAAAAATATAATTCGATTTGTGTGCACTATAAAGGTGCATGTAAGACTGACTATTTCTGCATTCGAACCCATTTGATTTTTCTTATGAATGCGTGGGCAGTCTATTATAAAATTTGCCCTCGGTGATACCTCCACTACCGTTTTTGTCACAATTTTATCTGTGTTGCCGAGCAAAGATGTGTAAGATCTGATAATTCTGACATTTGTACGCTGATTCAGCGCTAAATTGAATCAGCCTGTTCTGTCTTTCACCAGCACCGTGGGCTAATCACCTGGAGCTGGTTTAGATAATTGCCATTTATTTGTTATAACTATTCATGTTTTGCACTTGTTATTCAGGTTGTCGAGAGTGGGGGGAAGAACATAGAAGTTGCTGTAATGACAAGGGAGCATGGCCTTAGACAACTTGAGGAATCTGAAATCAATGCCATTGTTGCTGAGATTGAAGCAGAGAAAGAAGCTGCTGAAGCTGCCAAAAAAGCCCCTCCTAAGGAGACCTGATTTTCTTTTCCTTTCCTTTCCTTTCATCTTTGGGTTTTCTTTTGTTCAAACATTGTTCTTACTATGGGTTAATTTTATATCGTGTTCTGTATTGTAATGTGTTTGGAGCACCAAGACTCGTGCATTTAGCAACTCGGAGATGTCGATTCTTGATTAAGGCAAGATAAAAGAGTATGTATTTGCCCTGCTTCATTTGCTAGTCAAACTATACTTTGTAATCTTGTATTTAATGTCATTTCAATCCTTTATGAAAGAAAGATGCACATTATACTATGGATCATCATGAGAATCAAAGCACTAATCTGGATGTACTGTATCGTATCACCTATTCATTTAATTAATTTAGGGTCTGTTTCAAACAGCTTATAAGTAGTTTTTGAATAGTGATTTATGGAATACGAGGTAAGTGTGTGCGGGGGTTTTGTTTTGACTTATGTGAAACGTGTTTATAAAGAATTTTTTAAGCCTTTTCAAAGAGGCTTTTAATTTGATGATACTGCTTGTATCACTTTTAGAATAGGTGGTTCTAGGTATAATCAAAGCACTGATTCGGATGTACTGTCTCATCTATTCATTTAATTTAATTTGATGATATTGTGTGTACCAGTTTTAGAATATTTGGTTCTAGATATATGAAATGGATGTGTAATACTTTTTATTTCTGATTTTAGATAGGGTAGCAACAGGTAAGGTAGTTTGTGGCCTAGCCTGCCTGGCATGTTTTAAAATAGAAAAAAAAAATTAGACCATTTTGATGGCTTGTTAAGTTTAATAGGGTAGTCCTAGCTTGTTTATTTACTTTAATTTTAATTTTATTTTGTACTTATCTAGTCTTATTTCAAATTTTAATTTGTGTTTATAACTTGTTTTTACTAATATTAACAGTAATTAAGATTTAAAATATCACTTATAACATTAAAATTTAAATAAAAATAATTATTATGCAGTATGTATATTTTATTTTTTTAATGAAAATTTTAAAATTACATAATTTTTTAACATGCTGAGGTCAGGCAGCACCTTTATAAAGGCTAGACATAGGCTTAAAAAAGGCTTATAACAAGTAGACTCGGAAAAACGGGCCAAGCCCGTTTAGACCCAAAAATTGTGAGGGCCGAGCTCGAAATTTTTCCCTTCAAATGGGAAACGGGCTTAAAAGAGATGGCTCTGTAGAGTCGAGGGCTTAAACCGACCAGCTCATTTAGCCCTTTTTTATTTTTTTAAAAAGTTTTTGTATAATTATATTATGAATTTTTTTATATTTTCAATTATATTTTAAATATTTAGTTATTATTATCATTTTGAAATTAAATTTCACATGATGGTTTGATTTTATTGTCTAATTAAATTTTAAAAATGGGTTAATTTGGGTTTTAATAATGATTTGATTTATATTATATGTGTTGATATTTTTGAACTGTATTTATATTTGATAAGCAAGTATTTTTATATTTATATAACTTTTAATTCTATAATTTGAATCAGAAATTTATGAGTTTCAACAAGAATGCTTCTCAAACTCAAATAAAAGAATAGCTAAATTATAAAATTTAAAAGTAAAATTCTTATAAAAAAACTTGATATTTTTGTTATGAAAAAAGAACAATTGATTATAGTGATGATGAAGTTTTAAAAAAATTAATAATAGTATTTGTCTATTACACATTTGCATTATTGATAAAACTTTTGGATATTGTTATCTTGTTTATTGATATTTTAGATGTTCTTGAATGTTGATAGATATTTAGATATGATGATATTTTGTATTTGTGATTTAATTTTATTCATATTTATGTCTTTTATTAATAATTTTATTGGTTTGTTTTTATTTTTTGATAAAAAATGTGAGAAATATGAAAAATAACATTTTTCCTAAGTGGGTCGAAAGCCTGCAAGCCGGCCCTGAGCCTGTCAGCTTAAGGGCGGGGCCGGGCCTAGCAAATTGGGATATTTCTAAAATTTTGGTCCTATAGGGCTAGCTCTTTTAAGCTCATCGGCCCTACAGGACCGGCCCGTATTCCCATCTCTAATAACATGCCACAGGTCAGGTTCAGGCCAACTTGTTACTAAATAAACCTAGCCTATTAGAGACAAAGCTCGACCTGGGCTGATCTGTTTCCACCCCTAATTTTAGATGTAAGAGTTAGTTTGTATTATAATTTGTACTATAAAATAAATTTTATATTTATGACAGGAAGTGGTAGTTTAGAAGGCGGCTTAGGTTAAGTGAAAATGAAGACAACACATTTCCTATTGTTTTTTGAAAAAGAGATAAAAATCACTTTTTTTGGGGTAAAATCTATTGGGTGTTTTCTTACTTGTTAGACATTTTTAATTCTTCGCTTCCACATAGTTGAATAGAATCTCATGTTTGAGCAGAGGTAGAAATATGGGTCAACCTTGCAACGCTGACGAGCTTAAAAGGGCCAGTCCTACAAGGATGTAATTTTAAAAATAACCCAATTTGCTAGACTCGACCCTGCCCTGCCCTTAAGCTGACGGGCTCAAGGCTAGCCCACGGGCGTTTGGCCGGTTTAAAAAAAAAAAAATTCTCATATTTGTCATTTTTTTATCAAAAAATAAAAACAAACCAATAAAATTATTAATAAAAGACATAAATATGATTAAAATGAAGTCACAAATACAAAATATCATCATATCTAAATATCCATCAACATCTAAGAATATTTAAAACATCAATCAACAAGATAACAACATCCAAAAGTTGCATCAAACAGTGTAAATATACAATAAGCAAACACTATCATTAATTTTTTGAAATTTCATTATAACTATAATCAATTGCTCTTTTTTTTGAAGCAAAATATCAAGTTTCTTTTCTTTATAGGAATTTCACTTTTAAATTTTACAATCTAACTATTATTTTACTTTAGTTTGAGAAGTATTGTTGTTGAAACTCATAAATTTCTGATTCAAATTATAGAATCACAAGTTATAAAAATATTAAAATACTCTCTTATTAAATATATAGTTTTAAAATATCAACACATATAATATAAATCAAATCATTATTAAAGCCCAAATTAACCCTTTTTTAAAATTTAATTGGAAAATTATTGTCTAAAACCAAATAAATCAAACTATTATGTGAAATTTAATTTCAAAATGATAATAATAACTAAATATTAAAATATTATTAACAATATAAGAAAAAAAATTATAAAAAGGCCTAAACGGGTGCTTGTTTAAGCCATCGACCCTATAAAACCAGCCCTTTTAAGCATGTTTCTCATTTGAAGGGAAAAATTTCAAGCCTGACCCTCATATTTTTTGGCTATAAATGGACTGATTTGATGGGCTTGGCTCGTTTTCTCGGCTCTATGTTTGAGAACCAATAATTTCTTATTGCAAGTGGTGTCATAGGAGAGTCTTCTGCTACTCATAGAGGGATAGTGAGGGGTGAGAAAGATAGGAGAAATAGAGGAACATTATGAATGAATAAAGTGTGTAAGTTTCCTAACCAGAAGCAATTTTCTAAATAATACCACTTTATTGATTCAAATGAGACACAGTAGTCTGAGCTGCTCAAGCCCAACACATGCCTATTTATAGTCCTATAAAGTATAACTACCTTAACAGAAAACTATTAAACTAAATAAGCCATATATTCATTTTACACTCCCCTAAGTTTGGGGGCATATAAATTGTCGGTCCCTAACTTGCCTAAAAATTTAAAATGATCTTCTCTTCCTAACAGTTTTGTGAATATATCTGCTTGTTGTTCCTTACTTCTTACATGATGTAAGTTTATTACTCCCTGTTGCAGCTTCTCTTGAACAAAGTGGCAATTTATTTCAATATGCTTTGTTCTCTCGTGAAAAACAGGATTATTTGCTATGTATATTGCTGCCTTACTGTCACAGAAAACTTGTGCTGGTTCTGGTTTTCTCACATTCAGATATGCCAATAATCTGGTTAACCAAACCACCTCTAAAATAGCTATTCCCAAGACACTATATTCTGATTTAGTAGAGGATTTTGACACTGTGTTTTATTTCTTTGCCCTCCAACATACTGGAGACCCTCCAAACTTGACCAAATAGCCTGCAATTGAACTCCTAGTATCTAAACATGTCCCTTAATTTGCATATACATAGCACTCTACTTCTCTGCTATTTGTGGCTGCCAACAAAACTTCAAGTGCTGGTTGGCCCTTAAGATATCTAACCACTCTACCAGCTGTATTCATGCGAGATCTCTTTGAAGTGCTCATGAACTGACTTAGTCCCTCCGTGACAAAGCTAATGTTAGGCCTTATTGTTGTTAAATATGACAACCACCAACTAATCTATGATACATTGCATGATTAGAGAGGAGAGGATCATACTTCTCATTCTTTGGAATTTGGATGATTAGTCGATATTGTATTTTGCTCCATTAGTACCTCACGAGGCCTTACTACAGTCAAACCCATGTCAAAAATAATATCTAAAGCATACTTTCATTGATTTAGAACTATTCCCTTTATGGATTTAGCCACCTTTAAACCTAAGAAATATTTCAATTCCCCTAGGTCCTTAATTTTGAATTTGCTGTGTAAGAAATTCTCTACTTCATTTATTTTATTCAGATTATTTCCAGTGACAACTAAGTCATCCACACAGGCTAAAATTATAGTAACCTCAGAGTTATTTTGTTTTATGAAAAGAGAGTAATAATATTTACTTTGTTTGAAACCTCCCTGTAATAAAGCTTCAGTCAGCCTAGCATTCTATTGACATGAGGCTTGCTTAAGTCCATACAAGAACTTGGTCAATCTACAAACTTTATTTCCTTTAACATGACCAAATCCTTGTGGCACTTGCATATACACTTTCTTATCTAAGTCTCTTTAGAGGAAAGCATTATATACATCCACTTGGAACAATCCCCGGCCATTCGTGGCTATAAGTGTGAGAATAACTCTAATAGTAACCATTTTAATGACAGGAAAAAACATTTCAATGTAATCAATAACCCTCTTGTTGACCATACCCTTTGAGTACTAGTCTTGCTTTAAATTTGTCTATCTTTCCTGTAGCATCACATTTGACCTTATAAACCCATCTACATTCTATGGGTTCCTTCCCTTTTCGTAGATCAACTATCTCCCAAGTATTGTTTTCCTCCAGTGCCTTTATTTCAGCTTTCATAGCAACTACCCATATTTAATCATTTGTTGCCTGCTCAAAACTACAGGGCTAAACAATAGCATGAATACTAGATAACATGTTTTTATAGTCATTTGAGACATTTGAATATTTTAAATGTGATTGGA